TGCGTTAACAAGCCACAGCTGCATGAAATTTAAGGACGTGCAGTGTTCCCACTCTAGTCATCTACGACTGTTTTCGAATCAACACGGTGCGATGCATCTTCCATGGCAACGAAAGACTGCAAGACCTCAACCGCTGGCAAATTATAACTGTTATACAGGAACCAATCGATATTTTCGTGGCCTTAAGGGAAAATAATTCGGCGGCGCACAACAACCCTCTCTGTCCTTATTGTGAGGCCATAGACAGATGTTTTTGTCCAACAACACTAAAGCTTTTATAAAACATTCGCAAGGGTCTCAATGTTACCTTACTGCAGCGATCCAGACACAAACCGCTGGATTCAAAAACGAAACAGTTTGCTCAGTCTTAAAATTATCAAAAATGGTACAAGGCTGCTTTTGACAGAGCGAGAGTTCACTGATGCGACTCACATAACGCTGAACATATGAGTCTAATGACATTGCTCATGATATGGTAAATCAGACTATGAAAAGAACTCTGCAAAAAAATTTCTGATTAAAGTATCAGCGGTCACCAATTGCAATCACAGGTAACCGATGAAGATTGCGTCCTGCCATTTACCTTCTGCATGGATGAGATTTTTGAAATATTGTCTGCTCCAAACAACTAGTTTTTTTTGCAGTAATCAGTAATTGTTAGTCTGTCTGTGAACATAGTCGAGTGAATAATAAAACAGTAGATACAAGGCCGAAGACTTCGAATCTTTGCTATATGATAATGGTAATAAAAGCAATCAAGAAAAGGTTTGTAACCGCAGAAATGTTCGGCTTAACTATATTTTCATGATGGAACCATTTTTGATGCTCTTCTTTTCAAAAAATTAACGGTAAGGCGCTGATCTCCAGATTCCTGCCACCAGCTAGGAGTACCTTACTGTTTTTTATAAACGCACCGCAGACAGCAGCAACGGGCGAAGTACAGTGAGTATTCTGATGTTCCGATTTCCTTCCGACAGAATGGTAATCATTTATCAACTTCAAAAGGCAGAAAGGCAAATGACCGGATCAGTACTCGAACATGGGACCTCTCGGTTTTGAAACCGGCATTTTAAAGACAGAGCAACCTGAGCCAGTGGTATTCTTGTGCATATAATCTGAAACTGATTTTCATACCCATTAACGAAATCAAAGTTTCCCACTGCTTCACCAGAGGATGACTTTAGGCGTGATAAAACTTTCACTCCTTATTCTTACTTTTCGAACTCAAGGCGTTCCACAATAAATTCAAAAACAAAATTTTTGCATGTTTAGTATGAAATAAAGACTATCAAACAGGCTCAATCGAGGCTCCTAGTGAATTGTTTAAAGAACAACTGTTTGGACAATCCAGACAAATTAGAGGAATTAATAATACATACTTTCATTATTTGGCAGCTGAACATCGGCACTCAGTAAAGGCATGACAACATCACCGAAAGTCCATTGTGAACAATTGTCGTCCTTCACAAACTCAACAGTTTCATCTAAACGAGTAAAATAAGGCAGCAGTCAACCAAAACGTTACAGTCTAATCCACTTGATAATTTTTACGGCTGACAATACATCGAGGTTCAAAGGAATCGATTCCAGAATTCCTATCCACAAAAAACTGTTCACAAACTATCTCATACTATCTCATCAACTTTATTGTTTCTTAGTTGTCCATTTCACATGTTGGTTTTGCATCCCTCTTAATAACCTGCTGCATTTTCCTCATTTTTTTGACAAAGGCAGCATTCTTCATGGCTTGCCTTCAGGAAATCTTTAGCAATAAGTTTTAAGCGCTTGTCTATTACATAAATGACCACTAACTTGCTTCGTGCTTCTTGTACCCGTCGAACGTTCTTCTAACTGGAATATATATACATGCTTTTCATCAGCCCAAAACGTTAAACTTAAATTATTTAATCGCATCCCTTCAGTGAGACATGCGCATCTTATAATCCTTGTTACCCGCAAATCAGCAGTATAGACTACTAGCAATAAAAACAATGTAAGTTTATTTTTAAATTTTGAAAAATCCTTTAAGAGATGACACCGTATATTAAGTTTATCATATATGTTACTTCCAGAATCGCAATCCGTTTGTACCGGTATTACATAGGCTGAAACTACTGAAACTGATTTCCTGTTCATTCCAAAGCAATAACCTTTCGCTCTGATCGCTTAATCGCCAGTTATCGCAGCTTAACTGCTCAGCACCTCCTCTACATGCAAACTAACAGTGAGCAATCGGTCAAGCCAGCTTGGAAGTTTCTGAACCAAAGGCATTTAGAAGTTTAAAGCTTAAAGTCCTAAATGGGATTATGCAAAACTTGTAGTAGAAAAGTACTAATTCGTTACAGTAATACAGTAAATTACGAAATCACCCTTATACAGTGAAAAAGCCCTTCACACGTACGGCAGAATATACTATATCTAAATGTACATTGGCGCCCAAATACATATTCTAATAAAATCTGTAAACGGCCAATCAACTTCCAGATCCATTCGGTTCCATCGTGGTTGTAATTACTAGCTGTCAAATACGTGTTTCTTCCTTCATGAACTAAATAAATGCTGCAGCCAGAATAGTCTGAAACGGTTTATTTGCTTATTGCAGAAAAAAATGAAAGGTGACATCACCTTCATCATTTATCTGAAAGACATTGTGAATTGGGAGTGAAAAAAAGTTTGCACCCAGAACGTGCCTTTCAACCAATATCCCGGAAGAGTAACTGAATCTGAATACTGACCACTCAGCAATGTAAAACTAATTTCTGACAGCTAGAAACTAAGTATAGCTTCCAGAATTTACATGTATTTTTTCTTAATGTGAGAATTAACTCATTTGGTTACAGTGAAACACCAGGCTTGTCCCATTTTAAAGAACAACAAAAATTTTAAAAATTAAATAAAAAAAGTATTTTCGAAACTGCTGTAAATATACGCCATCAGCAATGTAACAGGTCATTCATTCTGCGCATAAGCAAGTCACAACAAACAGTTGGCTACAGTTTTAGAAATACAACGATAGAAGTTTCCAAAAAATCCTAACCTTAACATAAAACTTCACAAGTGCGAAAGGCTCGATTGAATCACTGATATAGCTAAACTGATTTATTTAATGACTCAGTATTAACTTGACTTCTGGGTCAAGCCCTGCAATAAGTGACCATTAAATACAGTGAAACGTTACCGCTTTGGACTGAACACCGTATCCGTTTTGGTCTGCGTTCATGGCGGTATAGAGGGATTACCGCTATGGACGGTAATATACCTATTTTCAAACGTATTTGATCATGCTTG